TGATTAATCAAGTAATCGGAATAAAAATTTTTTAATTACATGATTAATCAGATAATTAAAAAATTTTTATTCCGATTACTTGATTAATCAGATAATTAAAAAATTTTTATTCCGATTGATTAATCAAATAATAAAAATTTTTTACTCCGATTACTTGATTAATCAGGTAATTAAAAATTTTTTACTCCGATTACTTGATTAATCAGGTAATTAAAAAATTTTTATTCCGATTACTTGATTAATCATGTAATAAAAAATTTTTATTCCGATTATATTTGATTAATCAAATAATAAAAATTTTTTATTCCGATTGCTTGATTAATCAGGTAATTAAAAAGTTTTTATTCCGATTACTTGATTAATCAGGTAATTAAAAAATTTTTATTCCGATTACTTGATTAATCATGTAATTAAAAAATTTTTATTCCGATTACTTGATTAATTATGTAATCAGTAATTAAAGTAAAAAATATTACTGAAAAAATCATTAATGCCGATCCCTGTTTTATATACACTTATTTATAATTATATATAAAAATATCCGTATATATAACATTTTTTTCCGAGAATAAACAACATACATATCGATCCCAATGATTTCAATTTTTATTTACAATTCCAGCTATTTCGATAAAAACTTACAAATTAAACAAAATTCGATACTATAAAAAAAAATTCAGAATATATAAAATTCAATAATAAGCTATACATAAATTAGCTTCAATAAATGATGTTCTACCATCATTAAAAAAAATATATACATTCTGTATTTAAATACTGATAAAAAAATTAAGATCATTTTTCTCATTCTAATTTATATCTACGTACGCTATATGAGTCAGCAAAATTAAGTGATAGTTTAATTTTGCTTAAAATGTCAATCTTTATAATGTTAATAAGTGAAAAATTTTATAGAAACTACAGATTATTTGGCAAATAAGCTTTTAAAATACATTCAATATTCTCACCACATATACATTTTGTGCAATTTGTCGCACACTCTACACATGTAAAAAAATGACGGCATGGCATAAATACGATTTGTCGTTCTTTAAATAAACAAATTTTGCATAATATTTTTGAATTGCTAATACATGTTAGGGCAGATTGTTCCTTGCTGCTGGCGTCATCCGATACACCACTTGCTTCTGTATTAGGTTCTTTTTTTATGTTTTTTACATTAGTTGAATTAGGAGAGCTTCCACTAGCAATATTTTCACTATCAGCTTTCTCAAATTTCTCTCCCACTGTATCAACAACAGATGGAAGGTTTTTCTAAAAAATAAAATCATTTGGGACTGATCATTGCACATTCAGCACAATTTCATAATTAAAATTATTTTATAACTTTATGAGTATTAGATTAAAATATTAATTGCATACAAAACATACAAATTGCATAATTCCAATAACAGTACATATATTTTATAAAATTTGCTTATTACTTTGATATACATTGTCCCAGTAACGTTGTTTATAAATTCCGTCCCTTTAGTTAAAACTAGATAAAGACAATAGTGGAACCATTTGGCATGCTCTACCCAGGGATCATTGTTCGGCTCCCAATTCTTTAATCCTCCACCGCAATAATAGCACAATGTTTCATCATTATTTCCCGAATAATAGAATCCAGCAGTTGCTAGTTTTTCAGCTTGTGACCTTGCTTTAGGCCATTTGTCATACGATGCTAGTCTAGCATTATAACTAGAATATTCGTTATGCTTCGATCCTGAGGCTGGTTGATATAGAAGCAGTTTTAGCCAATAATTTACTCTTTCTTCTGTCTCTTCATGGACTGCACGATACATCGGATTGTAAAATCCACATACGTCTTCTCCTCGAGGCTTAGGTGCCGGAATTGTGCTAGGATCCGTACCGATCGGTACATTTCCGCATGGAATATTATTAACAAAATCGCACATTCTAGAGATCCGTTGATGCTTGACCATCGGATTGTCTTCTGGTTTCCACTGAAGTAATGTAATCTCACACGTGAAACATTTTACTTGGTCCTTTATGCCCGTATAATAAAATCCAGCCGCCGCGAATTTTTCTGGCTTCATCCATAAATGCGGCCAGCCTTGGAAGCTGTCCAAACGGATAGACTCAAATCGATAATCATTAATGGTAGTCATCTTTATAGTATTAGATATACGTAAAAATCAAATACTTTAGCTGTAAAGAAAAAATATATCATTAAATTCATAATTTAATCATATTAAATATAATTTATTATGTTGATATTTTCTCTCTCTCTCTCTCTCTCTCTCTCTCTCTCTCTCTCTCTCTCTCTCTCTTTCACTTCCATCTTTTTGTAAAAGAAATGTATGTGTAGAAGAAAATGTTATGTCCATATACACGTAGTCTGTCATAACGGCAATATGTTTAACGTATTAAAATTGATCTTTCCCACAAAAAAACAATTTCACATCAATTATGAATTTGATTTGATTAAGGGGGACAACGCACCGAGAAATTTCGAAATTTATTAATTTTCGTGTTTTTGCTTTTCTTCAAGCTTAACCTCTTAAGAATGTCTGGTGAAAGCCGCATGCAAAAATTCGAAAAAATAACGGAGTTATGGCCGATTTAGTTAAGGCGTTCGGAATACGCCGTGCAGCTGTCTAGTCAGCGCCGAGTGGCCGGACGAAATTCAGGTAGAAATACGTCGGGTCCCTATTGTAACACCAACAAACAAGAAACACCGACAAGAAAACTTGGAAAAGTTAAACATCACTGATAACCCCCAGGACCTATACTATGGACCTGGCATGGATGATTCTATGTAAGTTGAAGAATTTTGCGATTTATTCATTGCTCAACTTTCAAACGCGGTTTTCTCGAAATCATGTTTTTGAAGTCGGTACGCAAGATATCTCGAAAACTAATGAACCGATTGCAATTATCTTTTTTTGTGCTTATTCTATACATAATTACCTAGTCTTTGTCATAGGGGTTTTTTTTTTAGTGGCTTAGTTTTTTTTTAATCGGCGAAATAAGGTCGTATTTTTCTCTAAAAATCGCTATGTAAATTCAAATGTCCGCCATTTTGTCAAAAATCGATATTTTCAAAATCGCCCATGACAAAGACTAGATTATACTATCCAGTTTAATAATCTTTTTGGTTTTTTTGATTTTGATGATTACAGATGAAGCAGGAGTGCGTACCGCGGAGGGCCTTTTATTTGCGGTGCTTTACGGATCACAGGATTACTCGGCGAATATTGTATATTTTTCAATAAAAAAAAATTGACATATTCTTAAAAATGTGTATTATCATTTATAAAAAGAATCGGTTTGATTACTGCTATAGGTTTCCTTTCAAAAAATCCAGAAAAATGGTTTTTTTTCGCGCTTCTCGGTGCGTTGTCTCCCTTAACTATCAGTAATATATGTCTGTATAATGTTTAATTAATATTATTATTGAATGTTTTCAAGATATTTTTTGAAGATGCATGAGCATCGCAAACTCGGTAACTATGATGAGCGACGAAGAGGACTTTGAAGGAAAAAGCTTAAAATCAGGGACCCGGACCGCGAACTGAAATCGGAACCGTTTCGAAACCCTTTTTTTTAATGAACCGAAATCGAAACCGTACCTAAATTTTGTAAAGTTTATAATACCGAAACTGCATAACTGAACTGGTAAAATTTTACGGTTTTTTCGATTCTTAATTTTTTATCTTTATCCTTGTTCTTAATCTTTAGTCCTTTGTCGAAATCACCAATGTTCAATTCAGTATACCACTGTCGCCAATTCTCTTAACAACCGGAATGCAAATACTTCTAACACCTCACACCCAGTGAGAAATGATAGTGGAATCGACGTCGATTTGATGATTTCAACGTCGAATCGACATTGATTTGATGTCGATTCCATTATCATTTCTCACTGGACATGATATAAGAAATTTAGCGGGATCGCGCGAGACATATTTAATGTAAACTTTTTTTAAGATACTAGCATTTTTTTACTTAGATCTTCCTTAGAACTAACATGTTGCAAGAATTTATTCTAAGTCATGAAATTCAAGAATACATATGTAGACTTTATGCATAAATAAGTGAGATCTATCTATAAAAATAAAACAAATAATAAGAAAGGAGCAAGAGAAATGTGCTTAAAATAATGTTTACGTAATTTTTGTTCAGAGTTACGTGATCAGTTGACGCCTCTCTTCAATTAGGTTCTCTAGATTGAACGAGTGAACACGCTGTCTCTTTCTCTCTTTCTCCTCCCCCTCCCTCTCTTCTTAATAGAATAAATTTACAAAATAAAATGAGTAAGTAGAACCGAAAAAAATCGTTAAAAACCGTAATTTTTACGGTTTCGATTTTCTTTACTGGTAAAAAATAACCGAAACTGAAACCGGAATATTTATTTGATATTTTATTAAACCGAAATCGGAACCGAACCGAAAAAACCTTTCGGTCCGGGTCCTTGCTTAAAATCCTCTCTCTTTTTTCTACACTATGTTTAATGCATAATCACATTTATACTATGACTTATATATAAGAAAAACGTAACACTATTTACACACGAATTGGAATTGCAACAAATAAATTATTTACCTCGGTGTATAAGCACGATTGTCAGCTAATTGAGATGGCGATCTGTTTAATTGTGACAGGCTGCGAACAAAAGATCTCAAGTACGGATGCGCGTTTTCTTTTATAGGAATTAATGTTTCTAGATTTTTTCGCGTCTCGATCTTTTGTCGGTTGAAATGTCAAATCATAGTTGTTATGATGACAATGTTTTTTCATTAGTCTTTTTCTTAGAATCATAACAGTTGATCCTCTCTTCTGTTTTGTAAATTTAAATATACGTATTTCGATTATTTCTGTCGATATGTAAACTTCCATTTAATTTTTATTTAATTTAAGTCCGTCTATTAATTGATTAACACAATAATTTACTTATTCTGACACTGTCTGCATTCATGGACTACCACTCTTTCTGAATTCTTCCATTTCGAGCGATATTTTACGATAATTTTTATTTGAAATTAAGGATCTTTTGCATTTTTAACTTTCTAGCAAGAATAAAGATCTTTTTAAAGAAGTGTATGTGATTGTAAGTTGTTTGCCCACTGAGAATTTTTTTGTTAGAACCGAAATGTTTGGGCTTTTAATTATGTAAATTGTAATTGATTCGTTCAATATAAAACAAATTTTTGTGCACTGACAGCGTGCTTGGCTCTCATTGCCCTTTATAGATATTCATTTGAAATTTTAATTCGTTGTGTCATCGGAGACTTCCTCAATTTTGTATATTTAAATTGTTTATTTTATTAAAAATTTTATAAGGATAGAAAAAATGCCGAAATAATTATTGGAAAGTATGGAGAGACGATTCTGATTCTCGATTTTGTAAAGAAAAAAACGATATGATCGCGACTACAAAAGAATATCCGATTATGTCGGAACACTCTATGTATTAAAATTAATGTTTAATCTCTCGGGAAATAACGTCTTTCGACGTAGATTCGTGAGAGACGGTCTTTCCGAACGGACGATACCCGTAACAAGGTAAGGCAAATAAAAAATCGTAATGATCTCGCTGATGTAGCCGCGTGTATTTATCTTTACGAGTATATACCATAAGCTTCACGATCGAAAATACGCGATGGCGTCGCATCACTCGTAAATAGCATGTATGTGTCAAACGTGAGAAAAAAGCTGCTCATAATGTATATGTTAAAACGTTTCTGGTCCGCTCTACCGGTAATGAACTTAATGAGTTTTGGCATCGTAAATGCGTTTTTTTTTTTCATGATTATGATCTTACAGCAAATATGATGGATCGAAAGGATTTAACAAGCCGTTCACGTGTGCTGATGAATAATCATTGTAATCTAACGCGAGATGGAAGCTAAAATACGTAATAAAATCTCGAAATGAAGGTCGTTTATTGTTTCATTCAGGAGTCAATGCAAATGTCTTTATTGATGCAATCAATCTTTTAAAAAATTAGGTAATGATATATTTTTTTCTTTTATTTTCGCAAGTTCTCTACTATTATTAATGTAAGTTACTACTCTCTCTTTTACTACTACCGATGCATATTTTTATAACTTTTATGATTGTAACCCTGGTGGAAAAATGTTGCTGAAATTATTCCACGTTTTGGAACACTTTTCAACAAAATTTCGGCATTTCAAAAAAATTTCACTTTAATTTCAGTGATTTTTAGCTGAAAAATTCATTTTCGACAAAATTTCAAAAAAATTTCAGCAAAATTTTCAAACAAATTTCAGCAAGAATTTCAGAGAAATTTCGATTGGATTTCAGTGATTTTTCAGTATGTTAACTGAAAAATTCTTTTTCAGTGAAGTTTCAGCAAATTTTCAGCAATTTCGTTGAAATGTTCCAAAACGTAGAATAATTTCAGCGAAACTTTTTCACCAGGGAATAGAATTGTTCTCAAAATAATTTAATTTTTGACGGAAAAACACGTTTCATGATTATATAGAGATGAAGTTAGAGATTTCTAATTAATAAAAAGAAAAAACTTTTAATATTTGTAAAAGTAGAAAATATATATTCTTGGGGATGTATGGATAAGATCAGTTCCATCAATGTAAGATTAACTTGTAAGATTAATCTCGATTTAACTTACTGAAAAAGATAAACTATAAGTTAAGAGTGAAATTGAATCAAGATTAAAGTTAACTTACTCTTCACCTTGTTCTTAGAACGGAAAAAGATGAAGAGTTAGTTGAACTGAGATTAAAATCTACGTATATAAAAACTATGTTGGTACTGCTGATAGAAACAGATATATATTAATCAGATAAAAAAACCTACTTGTACCAAGTGATGTAATTAAACAAACGCTAATTGTTATCTAATTCTATGCAAAAGTGTATTTCATTTGCGCAATGTTTTAGCTACAATTAAAAAAGGGAATATAAATTACTTGCTTAATTTTTTTTCACATTTTTGATGTTCCAATTATACAGTGTTAGATTAGTATGAAGTAGAGGTATATAATATTATCCGCGATAATGCAAGAAAATACCGCGAGTTAAATGTAGTTGTGGTCACAATCCGTAATTATCATTCGTAATATTTATTCTTTTTTTACTCGTTTTTCTTGCATGTACAAATACATTCTAATTGATTTTCTTGCCGGATTCAAGAGCTGGTTGATAGGTATCTATTTCAGCTCTTAAGAAAAAGATGTGTGGAAATTCTGTGGCTACATGTTCTCCGGGACTTCGAAGATGATAAATGATATCCGATAGTTGCTGCATCGATACCAGCGAAGGCAATCGTTGGAGAAATCCAATATCATCTATTACCTTGTCGACGTATATGGCAACATACTTCGAAAAGAAGCTTTTTATTAGCATTAAATTTAACATTATTTATAATATCTTAATATTTGATACTTTGTATTGTTTTAATGTTTTACGTAATTGTTTTATAATTTCTTTTTATATTTGTATACTTTAAATGTAGAAGGATTCTTACAAGTCAGTATGTGAGAATATATTTTAAGAACTTCATTTACGTTTAGTATCAATATTAACAAAAATGAATTCGGTAAATTCGAAAAGATAAGTATAATTACTTTATACTTATTTCAATATCTCTTTATAAATATTATCTATATCGAAAAAAGTTTTAATATTATTTTATTAATGTCTGTAGACATTTTTTAATTATCTAAATTTTATTTGTTGTATTTTATTTATATACATTTGTCAAGATGTAAAACAAAAAAACACAATATAATGGGCATACAAACGAATGCGTATTAGAAAAGATGTTATAATCACATCCTTGATAAAAACTCTCAGATTATCGGTAAATCCACGATAATGAAATCCATCATTTGCTAATCATATTGTATTTTATACGCAGCATAAAGTTTCTTAAACATTTATTAGATACATCTAACGATACGAAAATAAAAAGAATAAGTTAAAAATATTACTTATCTCTATTTAATTTGACCTTTTTCAATCTGAGAAAAACAATATAGTGGCCTATAAATTTTCATACTTTTTTTATTTTAAAAATGAAATTCTCATTGACTATGTGTACTTTTGCACAAAAAAGCGGCTGTATAGATAAAGGCTTTTATTTTCCATTCAGACAGCAAAATAAAAGATTTATGATTATATACACTTTAAGAATAGTTTTAAACAAAATGATTTATTTATCTCCATATTACGATTTATTATTTGCATTTTATGGAAATTTAAACTGCGTCAAATATATACATAGCTATATATAATTGGGTCAATATTTAAACATTAAATGGAAGTTATCATATATTCTTTTAATTTACCGGCGCATGGCATCTTTTACAAACAGACTTTTACAACAGAGTGTTTACAAGTTTAGTCTATTAAACAAATATCTTCTTGTATGTTGTTCACTTTGTGCTAAGTATGCAAATCGTAAATCATTGCATCGAGAAAATATCAAAAAATCATCTCGATGACGGCAGCCATGAACTATCTCGCTATTTTGATTATATGTCAGTTTAATCTTTTAAACCGATTAGAGAGAATTTGTTGTATTTCCCCGTTTTATTTAATTATGATAATGTGAAAATGTAGAAACATATAACGCGCGCAATATTTTCAGATTATATGATAATCTGAAAAGGCTTTTCTGGAAAAAATATATTTTTTAAATTTGAGGTTCATTAATGGTTATACTCAGGGTTGGGTAAGTTAACTTTTTTTTTTAACTAAGTTAATTAAAGTTAATAGCCTTAAAAATTTAACTTAATTAAAAAATAATTTTTCGTATTTTTCCTTTCTCATGTCATATTTATTAAAGAATCTGATTTTTGTTCACAAGTAACGATTATACAATATAAAATTACTAAATTATAAACTCATTATCCTCTCGCATTGTTTGAGGATTGATTTAAAAAAAAATCAAATTAAAAGTTAATAGTTATTGATAAAATGTAACTAAATTAAATTAAAAAGTTAAAAGTTTAAAATGTAACTAAGTTAAGTTAAAATTAATTAACTTTTTAACTTTTATCTTTTTAACTTCGCACTACCCAACCCTGGTTATACTGCATGCTGTGCCATTAAACGGTTATACAATGTTCCATAAAAGTACAGACAAATCGATCCCGAGAAATTTGCGGTTCTAATAGAACGCAATATCATAATTTTTAGCATAAATAACCAAAGTGTTTTAACTATCGTAGATGTAGCAAGGGAATATATACATTTTTATTTAATATTTTTCCTATAATTTAATTTACGTATCGTATTTAAATTGATACGCTGTTCACAGAATATACATTTCGTAGAATCATATACTATATACATATCACGCGTGGTCAAGTGAAATCTAAACGAACAAAACTCAACGTGATTATCATTTATAACACACACGACGATTAAGTAAAAACATATTAAAAATGCAAATTAATAATTTTTATGAAATTACGTTTCGTTCTTACAGAACTTGCAACTTATGAAAAAATAGGAATTATATAATTTTTATGACACTGTCTTATGGGTATTTTATGCTAGAAATAGCATCGACTGTTTTGCATTCATTCGACATTCTATATTTACTCTATTCTAAAATATAATTAATTACTCTATTCTAAACTATACTTAACATGTAATAAATGTCATAAGTATGTGCAATATATTGTTTCCTCTACCGCTCATGTAATTTCAAATCCTTTTACGATGATCTATAAAATTAGCTATTTCTTTATGTTTTAATATGAACGTTTTATCATACATATGATTTTAACTTACTGCTAATTATAATTATTTATTCAACATTAGAAAACATTAAAATTTTAAAAATAATACTAAATTCTGTGTTAACATTTTTAACTTTTATTTCGAGACATTACACATTTATTCCTTACACAGTAATTTGTGATAATAGGAAAATCACATTATTATTGATAAATATTATTACGTATTAACGATTGGCATAGGTAATAAATCTGTAAAATGACATTGAGATTCATCAAGATAGATCCGCTGGAGGCTACAAATGACCTTCGTATAAATATCTTATATTATCGGCTTAAATGTGTCATCCCGTGGTTGTTTGAATCATTAAAAATTGATAGTGTCAACGACCAAATATATTTACATTATTAATGGATATTTAGCACATATTCCCAGCATAGTAAACAAATGATAAGTTGCTCGCAAATTAGTAAATTATATTAGACAAGAGAAAGTGTCTTTCGTACGACTCCACCTTTATTTCTCTTTGTTACTAACATTGTGATTAAATTTCTTGTTCTGCATATTGTTTAACCTTCTAGAGGCTTCTTTTCTTGAATCGTCTAATAAATACATTTTTGCTATAAATAACCAAATAAAAAATTACTTTATTTTCCATACTTCTTTGAAAAGATAGACGTAATCTGTACAAATTATTATTTTAGCATAAATTATTCTTATGACTTTTTTTAAATACACTTATCTTCTTTTTTACAAAGATCGATTCATTCAATTGGTCCAACCATTGAATTACCAATACTTTTTTATGTTATCGCGAATAACTACGGACAATATATTTTTACGTTATTCATATCTAACGCTATATAATCTTTGAAATATCAAGAACGACAAAATTAATTAAAGAAAAAAATTAAGAAAATTGTACACCTTTTATTTTTAGAATTGCAATCCATATTGCATTCGTCTAACTTAAAATATTTTCTGAAGACAATTGTTTACATTGTGTTTTGTAACAGGGTGTAAACGACGTCATCGGAATTAAAGTAAACGAAAGTACAAGAAGATACGATGACAGGCCCAGGTGAATTCCCGACCAGGATAAGATCACGCATTAAGGTGATTACCTTAACCTTGACCATATGTGTGTCTTTTTTTCTCGTATTGTTTCTCAATCTATCTATCCAATGAAGTACTCAGAGTTTTAGGAAGGCACGAGCGATCGAGTGGGAGGCAAGATATAAAGACGTGGCGGCCGATCAGGATAAAGACCAGATATCGTCATGTGGCAGCATCGGACAATCGGCCTTTTGGCCTTAATAGTTGCAACACATGTCCAAGCACAAGGTAAATTGTTTTCTTCTTCTGTATCAACTTGTCATCATCATTAATTTGCCTTACTGAGATACATTTTGCTTTCGTTATTATCTTTATTGTTTGAATAAGAAAGGGTATATTTGTTACAAAAGAAAAAACTCTTTCGTCGAATCTATGGAATATATAAAAGAAAACTTGAATATTTTAGTATACCTATCGTTAAACATGTTCTCACTCTAATATAAACATTTTATTTATAAAAATACCATATGTAATATTTTATTTTACATAACAAGCAAAATAAAAGTCTTAGACAGCAAAATGATAAAATAATTATATGTATATATACATTGTTCTTATTTAAAAATTTATATTTATAGTTTACAAGATATAATCCACAAAATGTTAATTTGGTTTTCCAAGATTTTGCTATTAGTAAGATAACGATAATCTCTTCTCATGACGTAACATTCATAAATATATGTAAATGTGTATTGCGCATCTTCCTATTTAGCTTTGCGATTGCTCTTCGAAGAAAGCATATATAAAAATACAAAACCATCGCAAGTTTTAGATTTTTTCTGAGAAATTGATAACAAATCTTTGCTATAAATGCAGAAATTTGTTATAGTCGCATGTAGATAATTGTTGTTTGTAAATACTTGAACTCTGATCCAAGATAATCGAACATTTTGCTTAAATTAATACATTTTCATTTTTTACAAGTTTTAAAACAATTGTACATTTTTGTTTGTATAATAGCAGACGGAGTTGGCGGAGCAATTGGAATCAATAGATTCGGAGTTAACGGTCCAGGTGAATGCGAAAAGAGAATTTATAAGAAAATATAAAACATTTTATATATAATTCTCTATATAAATGGATTTGTGATTTATATAAAATTACATTTTCAGTCATTTTGTTTTAAGTTCAATATAATTCGATGATATATAAAAACAATCTTTTCAGTTTATTGCAGAAGATAAGTTACTGCGTTTGAAGCGTTATAGCGGAGGCTTCGCCTCCTGTAGCGCTAGCAATTCATCGAACATTTTGCTTAAATTAGTACATTTTTCATTTTTTACAAATTTTAAAACAATTGTACATTTTTGTTTGCATAATAGAGGGCGGTGGAATTGGTGGCGGCGGATTCGGCAGCGGAGTCGGCGGTGTAGTTGGCGGAGCTGAACCAATTAGATTCAGACGTGGATCAGGACCCAGTGTTGTCAGTCTAGATGAAGGTTTCCGTCCAGGTAAATGTGAAAAGAGAATTTATAAGAAAATATAAAACATTTTATATATAATTCTCTATATAAATGGATTTGTGATTTATATAAAATTACATTTTCAGTCATTTTGTTTTAAGTTCAATATAATTCGATGATGTATAAAAACAATCTTTTCAATTTATTGCAGAAAATAAATTACTGCGTTTGAAGCGTTATAGCGGAGGCTTCGCCTCCTGTAGCGCTAGCAGTTCATCGAACATTTTGCTTAAATTAGTACAGTTTTCATTTTTTACAAATTTTAAAATAATTGTACATTTTTTTTTGCATAATAGAGGGCGGTGGAATTGGTGGCGGCGGATTCGGCGGCGGAGTCGGCGGTGTAGTTGGCGGATCTGAAGCAATTAGAATCAGACGTGAATTAGGAGCCAGAGGTGTTGGTCTATTTTATAGCGGAGGCCTCGCCTCCAGTAGCGCTACACAGAGAGAAAAATGTTTGGTATTTGTAACTATAATTATATATTACTATAATTATGATTATTACTGCTATAATAATAATAACAGTAACTATATATATAGTTCGAGCAACAAGTATAAAAACAATCTTTTCAATTTATTGCAGAAAATAAATTACTGCGTTTGAAGCGTTATAGCGGAGGCTTCGCCTCCTGTAGCGCTAGCAGTTCATCGAACATTTTGCTTAAATTAGTACAGTTTTCATTTTTTACAAATTTTAAAATAATTGTACATTTTTTTTTGCATAATAGAGGGCGGTGGAATTGGTGGCGGCGG